GAAGGTATGAGAATTATGTCTCATCAAATACAGAACATCAACAAAGAGATAGTAATTATCTTTAAATCAAAATCCTGAAATTAAAAGATATAATAAATGAAATGGAAAATTCATTAGATGGGCTCAACAGCAGCTATGAACAGATAGATCAACTGAGATTAACAGTGTGTGGGTTTAAGAGAAAAAAAATGAAGGGAAATGAACAAAGCCTCAGATTTCTTTGAGATACCTTCATGCATTCCAACATGCACATAATGGGAGTTCCAGACAGAAAGTACAGAGAGAAAGGGAGAGAAAGTATCTTTGAAGAAATGATGATCCAAAACATCCAAATTTGATGGAAAACACTAATCCACATGTCTAAACATCTGAACAAATTCGAAGTAGAATAAACTCGAAGACATCTACACCTAGACATATCATAATGTTAAAACTATAGAAAGAGAAAACCTTAAAAGCAGAACAACTAAGATATCTATTCAAATCCTTTATCCAAGTCTTGGTAACAATTTTGAAGTAATTCACACATCTTGTAATTCTGCCACTTAAATTATACAGTTCAGTGACTTTCAGTTTATTCACAGAGTTGGGTCACCATCACCACCAATTCCAGAACATTTTAATTACTTCAAAAAAAGAAACCCATACCCTTTGCTGTCAATCTCCACTCTTAACCTTTTCCCCCAACCCTAGATAACTACCAAAAATAATTTACCTTGTTTCTTGACAGTTTTGCCTTGTCTAGACATTTCTAATAATGGCATAATAGAATGTATAGTCTTTCATATAATCATTGAGTATACTTGTTTCTTATAATCAAGGACTGTACTTCTTTCATTTTATGTAATATTTTCAGGGTTCATCCATGTCATCGAACATGTAAGTCTTTCATTCATTTTACTGCTGAATAATGTTCTGTTTCATGGATATAAACCTGTGGGTCATTTCCACCTTTTTGCTCTTATGACTTATGCTGTTATGAACATCAGTATACAAGTAGACATCTGTTTTCATTTCTCAGGTATAGATCTAGGAGTGGAATTGCTGTGTCAAATGGTAACTCTACACCTAGCTTTTTGAGGAACCATCATATTGTTTTCCAAAGTGCTGTACCACTTTACATTTCCGGTAGCAGCACGTAGGGTTCTAATTTCTCCACATCCATACCGCTACTTGTTATTGTCTCTTTTTAAAATTTAAGCCATCCTAGTGGAGGTGAAATGGTGTCTCATTGGGATTTTGAGTTTGACTTTGATGTCTGAGGGAGTGTAGGGGAGGTAAGGAAATGACTTAATAGCAGAAGTGGCCTTTAGAGAGCCTAGGAGTGTTAGAGGCACTGAACTCCTGGTGGTGGCAGTGTTGTAGGCATCCTGCCTGGCCTCTGATTCCTACTCATTTTCAGACCTTGCTTCTCCAGTCTCTCCACTGAGTCTATGAAGCACAAAAGTTTTTATTTGATGAAGTCCAGTGTATTTGTTTTTGTCTTTAGTTGCTTGTGTTTTAGGTGTCATATTAAAAAAAATGCACAAAGATTATGAAGATTTACATCTGTGTTTTCCTCTAAGAGTTTTATAATTTTAGTACTTTCATTTACGTCTTTGATCCATTTTGAGTTAATTTTTATAATATCATGTGCGATAGGATGTCCAACTTTGTTCTTCTGCATGGGATGTCTAATTGTCTCAGCACTATTTGTTGCTATGGTCATAATATTTAAATGGGTTGGTGTTTATCGCCAGTCCTTTTATGTGGCTTTTCTAAACTGATTAATCTTTTGACTGAATTTCATTGTCAAATAGTTGTTACTAGTTTTGTTGTTTTGAAGGTTTCTTTATGGATGTCAAATTCCTTTAAGCTTTTCATGTTTGAGTAATATCTGCTTTTGTCTTTATCCTTGAATAATATTTTATCTGGGCTTGATATTCTTGGGTCACATTTTCATTTGCTCAGAATTTCATAAACACAGCTCCATTATTTTCTTCAATATTGCTTTGGAGAAACAGAGGCTAACCAGATTTGTTTTAACTACCCTAAATACGGCTCACTTTGTCTATTTGAAAATCTAAAAAAAATAGTTTATTCTTGAAGTCTAATAACTTAACTATGGATATATCTTAAAATTGAGTAATTTTTTTCTTTTTTTGAGTAATTTTTGTGTTCAGTGATTTTCATCAAAATTTCAGGGAACACTATATTTTTTCAATCTGCAGATTCACATCTTTCTTCATTTTAGAAAAATTCTCTTTGATTACATCTTCTGGCATTCCACTCAGTGAGTTCTTTATTGGGGATAACAGTTCTCTATGATGAATTACTTTATCTGTCTTCCATGTTTATTGGCATCTCTCCAAGTTCTTGAAGTTTGTCATTTTCATCTCAATCTTTTGTGATTATCTCAAGCCAGAAATAGACCCACACATATCTAGCCAACTAATTTTTGGCAAAGATGAGAAAGTACTTTAATGGTCAAAGTGTACCCTTTCCCACAAATGGTGCTGGAGCAATTGGATATTCCTAGGTACCCTCCCCACTTCCCTCAGTGATCCTCAGCCTAAATCACACACCTTATGTAAAAATCAACTAAAATTGAATCATAGACTTAAACGTAAAACTATAAAACTTTTAGGAAAACACATAACATAAAATCCTTGGGATGTAGTGCTAGGTGAAGAATTTTTAGACTTGATATCAAAAGTTAATTTCCTGGGTGTGATATTGTATTACAGTTATGAACAATATTACTGTTGGGCAAGATAGATAAAGGGTACGTGAGATCTCTCTATATTATTTCTTACAGTTGCATGTGAATCTACAATTACTTCAAAATAAAAAGTTGAATTTTAGGAGAAAAAGAGATTACAGTTCCAAAAAAATTTTGTTATTGTGGGAGAAGGACCATGGGGGAAAAGTACTGTTTCTATCTACTGATCATCACGTATCACAGTCAGGCACTCATACACACACACATTAGTCACAGAGGTTCTTACAAATTGATATAGGAAGAGAAATTTAGAATTGTTCATCTGGGCATAACTAATAAGGTAATAAAGCAAATTGCAAATGAATTGGAGTAAAAAAACCTTTGCATGTTTCACAAAGCTTTCCTGATCCGCATTCTCTACGGTGGCCCTCTAATGAGGAGGCGCTGTTAGCCAACTCTGAGTGTGTAATGGGACAGTTGGGGCAGCTCGCTGCGTCTGGCTGTGCCACTGGCAGCCTTTGTGCCCAGTGTGGACTCACTCAAGTGCTTCAGCTTTGTCTCCTTTTGTTTTTTGCCTCTTAATGGAGGTTACACTGAGTGGGAAGGAGGCCCTGAGTTGAATGTATAATCACCATGGGAACAGAGGCCACGGTCAATCCCTGGGAATGTAGTTCATGGCCCCCTCCACATGACTATTGTCGAAGTCCTTCTTATGCATTTTTTCTATGTCCTGAATGTTTCTGAGTTTGAGCGAGTGTGTGCAGGTGTGTCTTTGTTTGTCATTCTTATAGATTACCTGAGTTGTCCTTGAGGACAGAGGCAGAGGAAAATGTAGGGTACTTTATACAAACAATTTTCCATCCTTCAAAGTTCTGGTTTGTGTTTATTAACTTGGAATCAATTATAAACAAGTGCGGTAGAAGAAAAGTAATTGCTCAAAAATCTGAACTCCCACTTACATCCACTCAGGCCGCTATGTCTCTTCTATAGGAAATTAAGTCCAGCGTTTATGATGGTGGCAAAATCTGATTTTCTGTCTTCCTCACCTTCATTTTCTGCTAGTCTAGATGACTCCAAATTTCAAGGACCTTTGCATGCCCTGTGGTCTTTCTGGGACTCTTAAATCATGAATTGCCTCCTCATCTTGTTCTCCGTTGATTATTCGCTCAGTGCTCCTTGACTTACATTGGATTAATATGTACTAAATGTTTCTTCCCCTGGGATCCATTTACTCCACAAACCTTCCTAGAGACTGTCTTTTCTGTAGTTAAGACCTACAGTACCTTCTAGAAAGATATTCTGCTGTGGATGACTCCAGTAGGGTGTGTGTGTGTGTGTGTATGTGTGTGCACGCTCAGTCGCTAAGTCACATCTTTAGGGTAGACCTAAACTTATTAAATCTTCACGGGAAGCATCCAACGGGTCTGGTAGAGAAAGAATGTAGAAGGCAGAATATAGGTTCTAATTTAATATTCAAGAAGCTTTTACAAAGATCTCAAAACAAATACACAAGAGTATGAAATCACCTGGGTCACAGGATGCTATTCATCAGACCTGAGTATAAGATTCTTACAAAAGTGAGATTTGAACCTATTTTCAACATTGTCTCCATTATCTGGTACCTGAGAAAAGAAAAGGCAATTCAGAAACTATAGGAATGATGATCTGCCAATTAAGTAATTTAGATTTCCAGGGAGGGGCTCACCTGGTGTCTAGTGGTTGAGAATCTGCCTGCCAATACAGGGGTCAAGGGTTCAATCCCTGCTTTGGGAAGTTCCCGCATGCCCAGAGCAACTAAGTCCCCTGCGCCACAGCTACTGAGCCAGTGCTCTAAAGCCCATGAGCCACGATTACTGAGCCCCTGCACTGCGAGTACTGAAGCCCACTGCACTTAACAGCCCGTGCTCTGCAACAAGAGAAGCTACTGCAATGAGAAGCCCATGCACCACAACGAAGAGTAGACCCCACTTGCAGCAACTAGAGAAAGCCAGCACATAGCAAGGAAGACCCAGCACAACCAAACATAAATAAATGAAGCTTTAGGTTTCCAGGGAGAGACGCTAGTCAAGTCAGTTTGGTTTTCTATCTGCCTGGATCTCTTGTATGCATCCCTCTCTTCTTAACCCTGGCTGATTTCACCAAATTTGTATAGAGATAGCTAGTAGTAGTAGTATTGTTAGTCACTCTGTCATGTCTGACTCTTTGTGACCTCATGGACTGTAGCCCACCAGGTTCCTCTGTCCATGGAATTCTTCAGGCAAGAATACTGGAGTGCGTTGCCATGCACTTCTCCAGGGGTTCTTCCCAACCCAGTTATCAAACCTGGGTCTCCCGCTTTGCAGGTGGATTCTTTACTGTCTGAGCTACCAGAGATAGCTAATCCTGAAGTATAATTTAATATAAAAGTATTTTTAAAAATTCCTACCAAATCCATAAGCTGGCATGAAACTTTTTCCTGTTGATCTCTTTTTAGTTTCAGTGTGTGGTGGCCAGAATTCTAAGATGACCCCCAATGACCCATGCCCTTATATAATCCCCTCCTGTTGACTCTCATTCCTGTGACTAGATAACATTATATGGCAAGGTGAGGGGGGTTTTCGGAAGGAATTAAAGCTCCTAGTTAATTGAGTTTAAGTTAATCAGATAGCCCTGGGAAGACTTCACCTGATCAGGTGAGCCCTTTCACAGGGTCTGGAGGTAAGTCATTCTACTGCTAGCCTTGAAGAAGTAAGAAGTAAGAGTTCTGCAGCCACAAAGAAGTGAATTCTTCCAACAACCATGTATACTTCAAAGAGGACCCCAAGCCTCAGGCGAGACCCCAGCCCTGAACTGGCACTTTGATTGTAGTTTTGTGAGACCCTGGAGCAGAGAACTCAGGTAAGCCATGCTCAGCCTCCTTTGAAACCTGTGAAATCATAGATGGACATGGTAAGCCCCTAAATTTGTGTTGACTTGTGCCGCTGTAGAAAATTTATACACAATTTAATCTCCGGAAGTTTAGTTAGCTGTTGCAGAGTGGCTATTTTGTTTCCTTGCTTTAATGTCAGTTTCTTTCAGTATGCCCTACCAGACACCAGGAAAAAAAAGCATCCCCAAGACCAGGCTTTAAGTCTGTGTTTTGCTTATTGTAGACAAAAGAGAGGGAAATAATATAAATATAAATTCTTATTTTGATCTTCCATCAGGATATAAAACTTCCCTTATCACAGACTATTCATTACCAAATTCTGTTGGTTCTATGATCAAAATATATCCTGAGTCCATCTTTTCCTTTCAATTCCCATTCCACTGTAGTCAAAAGCATTATCCCGAGTAACCCAGACGTCTGTAAACCAGCCTCCTATCTGGTTTCCCAGCTCCTCCCCTTTCCTGCTTCTCACTCATTCCTGACCAGTCCAAAGAGCTATAAAAACACTGTGGGGAGAATTATGTCTCTTCCCCACTTAAAGCCTCTCAATGTTTTTTCATTGTCCTTAGGATAAAATCCAAAATGACCTGGGCTTTCCCCCAAATAATCTAGATCCACTTTCTTCTGCAGCACAATTCTCCAGCCCTGCTGATCTTTTTGTTTTTCATCAGATAGATGTTGTCTCTTGAGCCTGGGATACACATTTTTTGGCTCACTCTCCCTCATGCTTCAAGTCTTCACTCAAAAGTCGCTTCTCCAACAAAGGCTCCCCAGACACCCTGGGGCAGGTGCTGCTGATGCCCCACCTCATGCTGTGTACCCAGGTGGTGGCCATCCCTCGGCCCCCGCAGGGGCGCTGCTGCTGACCGCTCACGCCTGCACCTTTCTCTAGAGCCCTGCCTTTGCCTGATGAGGACTGCCGGCTGGAAGATGCTTGGGAGGTTATTCTCCCCCAAGAGGGTGGCCTTAACCTACTGTCAACTGAAGCCAGGAGTAAAGCTCTCAGGCCTCTTGCCTCTGAGCAGGACGGATTTGGTCCTGAACTGAAGCTTCAGAGCTCCTGGTGGGATCAGCTAAAGTTCCCCCGAAACCCCATCTTTGCCCAGATTCTCCCCCTGCGCTCTCTCTGCTGCTGTCACCCGCTTCCGGACTCCTGGGAGTGCTCTCTCAATGAATCACTTGCACAGGCATCCCCACTTCAGGCTCTACTTCTAGAGAACTTGCCCTAAGATGCCCACAGTAGAAGTGACAGTCCCCATTTTTGTCTCATGTCCACCTTCTTTTTCTTCACTGCACTTTTCACAAATATCAATTCTATGTTTGTTTCTGGATTAATTCATTGTACCCTTTGCCTATTAGCCCTGACCTCTGTGAGAGTGAGAACCATGCCTGTTTTACCCACCTCTGTTTTACCCCAACAAATTGCACTATGTCTAGTCCCGTGGCGGAGCTCATAAGTTGTTGAACAGATGAATGAATTTGTGATTTTGGTGTCTGTCTTTAAGATGAGTGTAGCTGGTAACGGATAAAATGCATACATGGTACCTCGGACTATGACTTGGAAGTTGTATGGGACTCCTTTACGTGTTTCTAAGTGGAAGCACTTGGAAAACGAAACTTCACTAATTTACATTCTTTGCTCAGGAGCAGGGGGGGTAGAAAATAGAATTGGCAGGTGGTGGTGGTTCTTTATTCACATTTGCGAGGTGAGAAAACTGAGGTTCAAGGGGATTAGGCCACTTGCCAAGGTGCAAAATGAATGAAAGTCTGAACTTTGAATCTGATCTCAGGCTTTCTGACTCTATAAAATCCATGCTTTCCTCCTCCAAGGGTTTCTTTGTCTCTCAACCTACTAGCTTATTTAATTAAATTATCTTGTGCCAAATATAAGTAAAGGTTTAAATATGTGAACTTTGAGTTAATGTTAAAACTGGATATAAATCTTAAAATCCTCTTAGTCTTATGAACTGCCATTAGTCAATCTATAATATTGTATTGAACATCTGTAATATGTTAAACATTGATCTCATCATGATGAAAAAGGGAAATTAATCGGAGATGATTTAAAAATTAAAGTACAATTGATTTACAATATTGTGCCAGTTTCAGGAATACAGAGAAGTGATTCAGTTTATATATATATATACATACACATATATATGTATATAATGTCAGATCCTTTTCCATTCTAGGTTATTACAAGATGTTGAATACAGTTCCCTGCCCTATATAGTAAATCCTTGTTGTTTACCTATTTTATATATAGTGGTGTATATCTGTCAATCCCATTCTAATTATCCTGTCCCCTTTCTCTTTGGGAACCATAAATTTGTTTTCTATGTCTGTGTGTCTGTTTCTGTTTTGTATTCATTTGCATTACTTTTTAGACTCCATATATAGGTTATATCATCTATTTGTCTTCCTCTGACTTTGCTTAGTATGATATTCTCCAGATCCATCCATATTGCACAAATGGCAGTATTGCATTCTTTTCTATGACTGAGTAATATTATATTGTGTGTATGTATACACACACACCACCCCTTCTTTGTAAGTAGAGATGATTTTGATTTTGGATTTGCTGCTGGCCCAGTTGTTCCAAGGTCACCTGATGGAATTAAATGTACCTGTGTTTATTAAATGTACCTGTGTTTCAAAGACTGGAACAGTAGCATAGCCTCTGTATCTACAGTTTCATCTCCCTCAAAGCCATGCTTAACCCCAGAGTGTTTTTTTAATTGAATTATAGTTGACTTACAGTGTTGTGCCAACCTCGGCTGTACCGCAAAGTGAGTCAGTTATACACACACGCATACTCTTTTTGTTTTTTTATAGGCTTTTCCATTATAGTTTATCCCGGGAGACTGTGGGGATATAGTTGCCTGTGCCCTACAGTAAGTGTGTTGTCCATCCAGTCTAAATATCCTAGTTAGCATCTGCCTACCCCACACGCCCAGTCTGTCCCTCTGCCCCTCCCTCTTCCCCTTGGCAACCACAAGCCTGATCTCTGCGTCTGTGAGTCTGTTTCTGTCTTGTAGATGGGTTCATTAGTGCCATATTTTAGATTATATATATCTCTTTTTGACTTCACTTAGCATGATAATCTCCAGGTCCATCCATGTTGCTGCAGACAACTTTATTTTGTTCTTTTTTATGGCTGAGTAGTATTCCATTGTGTGCAGAATACATCATTTTTATACATCCATTTATCTATTGGTCAAGATTTAGGTAGCTTCCTTGGTTTGGCTATTATGAATAGCAGTGCTGTGGACATTGGGGAACATATATATACACTTTATATTCTTTTTTTCTCCTTTCTCCCTTCCTTTTAAAAATACAGATGGCAGCATATTATATCCAACATTCAACTCCTGTTTTTTTAAAACAATATATCTCAGAGATCATTGTATAGCACTGCATCAAGATCTTAAATTTTTAAATATCTTTAATATACAGTTTTAAATATACAATTGTAAATTATAAGTATACAATTGGAAATCAGTCCTGGGTGTTCATTGGAAGGACTGATGTTGAAGCTGAAACTCCAATACTTTGGCCACCTCATGTGAAGAGCTGACTCATTTGAAAAGACCCTGATGCTGGGAAAGATTGAGGGCAGGAGGAGAAGGGGATGACAGAGGATGAGATGGTTGAATGGCATCATCAACTCAATGGACATGGGTCTGGGTGGACTCTGGGAGTTGGTGATGGATAAGGAGGCCGGGCATGCTCTGGATCATGGGGTCGCAAAGAGTTGGACACAACTGATTGACTGAACTGAATTACATAGGATTCTACTGAATTGATGTGTCATTATTTAACCAATCCCCAGTGGTGGGGATTTGTTCAGTCACTAAGTCATGTCTGACTCTCATAAGTTCCTCCTAATCTCTCGCTATTATAAAACAGTGCTGCAAAAAAAAAAAAAAACATAAACAAAAACAAAAAAACAGTGCTGCAGTAGATGACTACATATACACACCATATTATATTGAAATTACTTCCCTATGGTCTATCTTGACTTAGGCTGTAAGTTCCTCTGAGGCAGGAAATGATGCTTTATGCATCTCCAAATTTACCTGCTTTTAACAGGGCTTGGCATGTGTTAGGTGTGTAGTTACAGTTGGCTGGGCTGGAGTTATTATGTAAGGAATAAGCCAGTCTCCACATGCTTTGCTGCCTGTCCCGGTCTGGGAATCACAGGGCCTGTGGGCCCCTCAGGGTCTGTTGGGTCATCCTCTAGCCTTCTCCCTCACCCATTCTGTCCCCCTCTACCCTGATCTCCATACCCAGGTGGGAGCCGAGCCTTACATCATCATCCGGGCCCCCCTCCTCTGGCTTCTCCTAGGGTTCATCCAATAGGAGGCACTGCCAAGGGATGGGGAGTGGGAGATGGAAGTTCCTCCTGCTGCCTCCCTGCCTTAGAGTTCAGTTCCAGCAGTGGTTCTGTCTTCCTCTGCATGGGACTACAGCTTCCTCCCTTCATAGCTCCAGCACTCACATCACTGTCTTCTGCCCTTGCCCTTCACGCCCAAAGTAGTACCAAGCCCACTGTTAGTCCTGGGTGGTTGTGGTCTCTGGTGGCCGCAGCCTGCAGAGGCTTGAAGCAGGATCTCAGTTCCCAGCCAGAGACTGAAGTCAGGCTGCAGCAGTTAGAATGCTGAATCCTAACCACTGGACCATCAGGGACCAGTGGCCAGTGACAAGGCCCCTTGCCCTTAGCCTTTGTAGAAATGAATTTCCTCAAGGACAGAAAATAGTGAGACAAGTAAAGTGTTTATTAGGAGAGAAAAGAGTATGTGTGAATAGGCATACACGGGCAGGCTCAGAGAGTCACATCCTTGTGGTAGTTTGAATCACTCGTATGGGGCATTTCTTCCAGGCTTCCTGTGGCCAGTTTCCTTGCTTTGCCTGGTTCTGAGTCCATATCTGGTTTATCTCAGGGTCCCCCCGTGTCCTCAAACATCTCTTAGCCAAGGTGGATTCTGGTGCAGAGGCCTGTGGGTAGGTTGACATCATTTACTATGAGGTGTCACCGCCTCCCTTTCGACTCTGAGGAGCATTTCTGCACATGTGAGGTCGGGAAGGTCTCCTTGACCTTGAGAATGGGAAACTCGTGGTCTCTGTCCTGGGCAGGGCTCGCTCCTCCTCGTCTTCATCTTGGAGTATCTATCCACAGGGGACAAGCTCCAGCTGCTCAGCCCCAGGCCCATCTATCTCCTGCCTCAGTTCTTCATCCCTTTTTGGATCCCTTAACTCTACCCATGTCCCTGTAAATTATCTTGCCACTAAATTATCTTCACTTAAAAAAAAAATTATCTTCACTTAAACCCTTTGCATAGAATCTTGTTTTCTGCCAGGACCTTCCCTGATTTAAGGTCTCTTCTGAATCTGAGATTCTACCGTTCTAAGCCTTGATAGTTTCCCAGCTCATTTTTGAGGTATAACAAAACCTAGCTAAAGAGGCAGTTAAACCTTAACTGATTGCCCAAAGATTTATAACAATAGTAACAAAGTAGTGTTGAGAAAATGAAGCACCTAAACCCCTGCCCCCTTGTCCTACTGTGACTGCTTTGCCAGCATCAGCATTTGTGATTCAGCCAGGAATGTTTAATAAAAAATAAGCACAGAATTTAAAGAGTATTTCAAAGACTTCTGCTTAGCAGTTCTTTTCACTCATTGAAGCAGCAGATAGGAACTGAAAAAATAAAGCAAGCAAATAAGACCAGAAAAATTTTATGTGAATTAAGCAGTACACTGCTTTATATATTTCTTACAATGTGCATAGTGCTCACAGGGTGTGAGCATTTCTTGAATAGCAGTTCATTAGTGGGCTGTGAATTGCACTTTTTAAAATATATCTATAGGTTGTTCTCCAACCAATTAAGTTGAAAATAAGGTTTTTCCCCCAGATTAATAGCTGAGCAATAGCCTGGAGAGTCTTCAGAGCATTGAGATTGATTCTTTGTACTTTTGAGTTGTAAGGAAATCTGGCTTAAAGTAAAACATAATGGCTGCAGATTGCAATGTTCCTCATTAGCAAAGCTCAGGCTTTTGAAAGGAGTGATTTAGGATTTTCCTTCAGGGAGGATCAGGCTGCAATATCTACACACAGTTTTTGCTTCTAGACTTTATTTACCAAGAACTTTAGAAGACACAAAATGTCAATCTGTCACTTTGTCTCAAATCAGGGTGCTTCTAAGATAGCAGATCTTTTCAGGCATGAATGATTCATGAAATCATTTCTCCACCTTAAAAATAAAATGATGAGGTGAATGACAAACAAAATGGTTCATTTATTTACGGCATATAAATGGAAGTTTCTTTGGGAAAATATATGCTATATGTATGCACATGTATATAGATACATACATTATATAGGAAACTGAGTCCTCCTTAAATCAAGTTCCCATGCTGAGTTTATGATTAACTACTATATCTAAAACTTTATTCCCTTTTTTGTCCTGCCAGTTATATTTATTGTATATAAAAGTGATATTATTATATACACAACTAATAATTACTCAGTTTATATGGCAGTTAATTTTCCCATGAAAAGTTTCTCTTAAGTCCTTAAAACAACATGGTGGTCAGCTGATATGATTACCTTATGGATGAGGAAACTGAGGATCTGAGAAGCTAAGATGACACAGCTTTGAAGAAATAGAAGAGAGATGCTAAAAACAACCTAGAATTCTGACCAAATTCTATTCTTCATGGCTTCTATTATTCTAAGGCTTTACTTCTACGAGATGTCTCAGAAATTTCTCAGAACAACCTCAGCCTTGAATTTTATGGTACTGAACACATGAGTTCATTTAATATGGATGAAATAAAATTCATCTTTTAAGGTAAGACAAAAATTTAAACATACAATTTTTCTCTGCCCATTTGGACCTCCTCCCACCCCTCTGGGTATGCACTGTACATCTGCATTATGCATTAACCAGGCCTCCCCCAGGGCAGAAATACCAGCTGAACCATGAAGTTCAATTTTTCTTCTGGTGCCAGTCATGTAACTCCTTCGAAGATAGTATTACTTACTTATAACCTTATTAATGTTACTAGCTACATTATTTGTATTCTGCCTATTTTACAATATTATTGTTTCTTGCATTACCAAATGTATGACTGACTCTCTTATTAAAAATAATGACTGTGATTTGAAACAATTAACCAAATATATAATTCTATATGATCAATAATTGTAATAGTGCAACTCTAGATATGGGAAGAAGCAACAAGAAGGAACCATTTCCTGGACCATGACAGACTAGTAAGACAGGTGGGCTTTTGGCTACTGTTAACAAGGCCTAGTCCAATAATAACACATTGAGTAGCCTGTCAATGAAATCCTTGCCTGATCTGAGAATGAGTGTTTCTAGCACCATGGGACACATTGATCATGAAGTGACTCTGAAATCTAGCAAAAATAAGACTAAAAAGAGGACTCTGTAAAATAAAGAACATAGCCCACCATCCAGTTCTACAAAGATGAAGTCATTAGTTGCTGTAGTTGCTGACCTACAATATGCCTTAAAAGGAATTCAGGGCAAAGATCAGGATGAAGCATTTTGGATTCTGGGAAAACTGGCAGATTGGCCCTCAAATAGTTAAATATTTTCAGGAGAAAACTTTAAGAACTCAGTTTCTTGCATTTTCCCATCCTTACCTCTTTGAAACAGTCCTCAGAGCTTTCCAGAAGACTATCTCCTGGGTTATAATCTTCAGGTTGACTTGAATAAAATTTTCTGTTTCTTTGTCAGATTGACTATTAATTTTTTGGTCAACAATATAATGAAGAAAAAGTTGTTCAAGGAGATTTTCCATAAGATATCCTTCCTGTTCTCCCTTAGAAGATCTATAGAAAAATGGAGATAGTCTTTACTAGCATAGCAAAATTTAGTGGGGCCTGGCGTACTGGTCCTCATACAAAACAATTTTATCATTTGAATCACTAACACCATTTTCGATAAATTCTAACAACCTTTATTAAGTAGTAGATTACACACTTACTACCTTCCACCCTTGAGTTGTTTTAATAATCTCCATGAGAATCCTTTGAGAAAGTTATCACCGGCCTTGTTGGTGAGATGAATGCAAACCAGTGTACCGACCAGGTAAAAGAAAAGGTGATCCTTCTGGGTGAGTCCCCAAAGTGAGGATCTGCAGAACTGAGCTTTGAAGGTCAGGGGAAATTGCAAGGTAGTAAGCAGTCAGAACTTCAGAGGAAAGAACTGGAATAGATTTTCTTAGAATATTGTTTGGAACCAGCAGCAAAGTGTCCCAATGGTGAAATAGTTTTCTATCTGTGACCTAATTGTACTGTCTGAATTCAAGTGGACTTCATGAATTCAACCAATCAGCAAGTCCATTAGATCATAGCCTTTGTGGATTTGGCTTTAAAACCAAGTCCATTCCTCAAGGTTCCATCTCACAGAGATGAATCCTTTTCCTGTTGCATCAGTTGTATGTTCCCATGTGGTGCTAGTGGTGAAGAATTAGCCTGCCAATGCAGGAGACTCGAGACGTGGGTTTGATCCCTGGATCTGAAGGATCCCTTGGAGTAGGAAATGGCACCATACTTAAGTATTCTTGCCTGAAAATTTTCATTGGCAGAGGAGCCTAGTGGGCTATAGTCCATGGTATTAAAAACCAAAGACATCACTTTGCTGACAAAGGTCCATGTAAGTCAAAGCTATGATTTTTCCAGTAATCATGTACAGATATAAGAGTTGGACCATAAAAAAGGCTAAGCGCCAAAGAATTGATGCTTTTGAATTGTGGTTCTGGAGAAGATTCTTTAGAACCCCTTGGACTACAAGGAGATCAAACCAGTCAATCCTAAAGGAAATCAACCTTGAATATTCATTGGAAGGACTGATGCTGAAGCGGATGCTCCAGTACTTTGGCCACCTGATGTGAAGAGCCAACTCAGTCAAAAAGAACCTGATGCTGGGAAAGATTGAAGGCAAAAAGAGAAGAGGACGACAGAGGATGAGATGGTTATATAATATCACTGGCTTAATGGACGTGAATTTGAGCAAACTCCAGTAGATAGTGAAAGACAGGGCAGCCTGATGTGCTGCAGTCCATGAGGCCACAAAGAGTTGGACACGAGTTAGCAATTGAAAAACAAATTGGGACGTTAAATTTAACTTAGTGTTCACTCTGTATCAGTCTGTTTTTTCTTAATATTACATATATTCACTTATCTCAATGACACAGTAATTCATATAGCAACTTATTATAAAAATAGTAGATTTCTCAGTAAATATTTATTTAGTCATTCACTGACTAACTTTTTGGGTGTCTACTCTGCTCTGGGCACCATGCTAGGCTTTGGGGATCTGTTGCTGACACAGAGCCTGTTCTCATGGAGTTCACACTCTATAGTCAGCGAGACAGATATCAAATAAATGGTCAAATGCACCAGTGCAAAACTGGGATTGCGACATGCCAAGGAGAGGTGGACAGGCTGTGTACGTACTCAGTGGATGGGAACCTGTCAGATTCGGGGAAGTCAGGAAAGACTCCTGTGAGGAAGGTCCTCTGAGCTGAGGAAGAAGATGCGTTGTGGATGCTGATGCAGGCAGTGGGTGCAGCAGGGACTGCTGGGAGGCGTTGGAGTCTTAGCTCCTGTGGAAACCTGTGATACTTTTAAGAGTGAGGTTTGCGGAGTCCAGTGAGACAGGTAAGGAGCTTGTCTTCATTCTAAGAGGTAGAAGGCCAAAATCTGTGTTTTACAAGGGAACTCTCGCTACTGTCTGTGGAAAATGGATCAAAGCATGCCAGAGAGGGTGCTGGTAGACCAGCAAAATAATTTACAATAGTCCATGAAAGAGTCATCTAGTCCAGAAGAGGCTAATTTTAAACTGTCAGTTCAGGAAGTTATATCTGAGATGTCTTCCATCCCAGCTTGTTTAGGTACTGCTGTTTTTCTTTATATTCCTCTTTATTCAGACTTTTTCCCTTTAGTCACCGATGCACAGTTTAATTGATCAAATGCATTAAGAAATAAATGAATTGACAAAAGGTTAGTTTCTATGGCATCATTTTGCTTGTGAGAGAAAATGTCTTAAGTTTGGAGCAGTGCCATATAAAAGAACTATTAAATGTTACTGATGCATTGTTTAATATCACTCTTGCTTCTTAAATCACAAAATACATCTGGTGATGTCTGAAATTTGTTTCTTGAGTTGTAACATGTGAAAAGCAGTCCTGTGAGTCCACTGGGATTATGAGTAGCTTCTGTTTTCTTTGTGTAGTGTGTTGGGTAAGAATATAGACTCCAGACAGCCTGCCTCCTTTGAATCCACTTTTGCTTATTTCACCAGCTTACCTCACAGTGCTGTTGGGAGAATTAAATAGGTTAAACCACTTAGTACAGAAGCTGGCATGTAAGTGCTCTCAGTAAGTGGTCATTACTGTCATTATTTTTCTCCCAAATGTTATTTCCTAATAAACACATATTATTATATGCAGAGCTATTTTTCAACATAATGATATGCTTTATTTTTATGATGATTTTCAAAATCAATAATATTAACTTTAGTAATTGTGGTAAATAGGCTCTCAGTGTGGGATTTTAGGGTTTTTTTTTTTAACTTTTTATTTTGTATTGAAGTATAGCTGATTAACAAACAATGTTGTGATAGTTTCAGGTGAATAACAGTGAAGGGACTCAGCCATACATGTATGTGTATCCATTCTCCCTCAATCTCCCCTCCCATCCAAGCTGGCACATAACATTGAGCAGAGTTCCCTGTGCTATACAGTAGGTCCTTGTTGGTCATCCACTTTAAATATAGCTATGTGTCCAAGTTTACTCCAAACTCCCTAACTCTCCCTTTCCCCTATTCTTCCTCCGTGGCAGCCATAAGTTCATCCTGTAAGTCTATAAGTCAAATGGAGTTGTTTTTAAACTGGCAAATATGATCGCATAAAAATGTTAACAATGTTTATCTCTAGATGCTGGGGTGAATGGTGTTTTTTTTATCTGCTTCTTTGCATTTCACTGTATTTTCTTAGTTTCTAAAGCGAGCATGAATTGTTTTATCATCTAAAATGTTGTTTTTAGTTGTCTTTATAACTTAGCTTAATGCCAACAGACAGATAGAAGCGTTAGAGAAACAGTTCTTCAGAACAACACACTGTTGCTTGAAATTTGTCCAGGGGCCTCATCAAGAATAAAGGTGATTGAGCCCAGTGACCTGCTGGTCCACATTGGGCACACCTAGGAAACAGTGTTGGCAAAATAGTACCAGCTGTGCTTGCTTCTTAATACTTTTAAGCTCCTAAATACAGTCAACAACCTAGTGACAGCTGTGTTGTGTAAGAACTGGTGATGCTACAACACTAATCTACTATCTACACTGAAGCTCAGTCCCAGTAAATATTCATGCTAGGAGCAGCTGAACTCTCCAGTTCTTTAATATATGAACATCAGATTAAAGCTCCACAGATGCAGTGACTTGCCTGCATCCCCAGAGTACTTTAATCCTGGTATCTGCAGTCTCCATGACCATTTGCAAGGTCAAAAGGTCAAGGACGTAACCAGATCTTATGCCCCTAGTGTGATGGCTCTACGACCCCGATCCGTCTTCCAGTACGAATAGGCAGGAGACGTAAACAGAATTCGGGAATCAGACCTCATAGCTGAGTTGGGACAGGTATTCAGAGAACAGATACTAGGAGAAAGGTGTATTCCAGAAGGCGGGGCACAC